CTGGTTGTCTTGCAATAGTCTTAGAACACTTAAAATTATCTTCACTAGCAACAAACCCTTGGCTGAATCTATATTAAAATTATTCTTTTTGTCCATTGTGCTGAAATTAAGGGGGGGGAACCCTTTTTAACGGTTGCATTGTGTTTCTTAGGCTCAAAATGGAGGACGTGGTGGAATTCATCCTGGACGAAAGGCTTTAAATGTAGGACGTGTCCTGGAAAAGGAGGGCGCCTGGTCAGGAAGGGGTCCTGCTTTGGAAAAAGCCGCCGCCGCCGCCGCCGCGTCCCGAAAGGTGCTGGTTTTCCCCTCTGAGGGGAACGGAGGAAGCGTGTACGTGTGTACGCGCCAAACACGCATTGCAAAAGAGAACAAAACCCACACTCAAGACCTTCCCTTGATGCAAGAGTCCCAGTAACTCGCACTCTTCAGAGTGACCAGAGGGAAGTCCTCACCGCCAGGGAGGACAAGGCACCGCAGAATGGAGGACATTCAAGGGGGGGGAACAAGATACAAAATAAAAACTAAAAACCACCACTGTAAATAATGCTTTTTAGTCGTGCTCCGAGTGGAGGACGTTTTGGGATTCCTCCCGGACAGGAGGCTGAAACGTTGAGGGTGACCAGAGGTCCTCACTGCAAAGGAGCGGGAAGGCACTGCAGGATGGAGGACGCTCAAGAAAAAACGTTATACAAAATAAAAGCTTTAAAAAAACACCACACTCTCTTATAAATATAAATCCATTACAGAAATGTAAATGCTTCTGAATCGTGCTCGAAATGGAGGACATGTCGGAATTCCTCCAGGGCAGAAAGCCGGAATGTAGGGCGTGTCCTGGGAGGGGAGGACGTGTCTGCTCACCCTGACGTTCCTGGCCAGAAGGCGTCCATCCCTGAACGGTCTCGAGTTCGAATTCTCCATCCGGAAGAGGACGAGGGGAGCCTCCGGAAGAGCCAGAACACCGCGCTCCAAGCAGAGCTGCCTGCCTCCTTAAAATTAAAAGGCCGCAAAACAAAAGGACCGCTTAGACTAGACTAGAGAGGGCACTACTGAGTTGTTAACTGCCCTCGCGTCGATCTTGACTCATGGCGACCCTATGGATGAGGCATCTCCCAGACCCTCCGTCCTTTACTGCCCTGCTTTATTCCTGCAGCCCCTTAAAACCCAAAGTGACCTCCTTATCAGAGTCCATCCATCTGGCATGTGGCCTTCCTCTCTTCCTACTTCCCTCCGCCTTCCCCAGCATTAATGTTTTTTTCCAAAGAGTCCTCCCTTCTCATGATGTCTCCTAAATACAACAGCCTCAGTTTGGTCATCTTGGCTTCCAGGGAGGTTTCTGCTTTTGGCTTGATCTGCTCTAGGACCCCCTTGTTTGTCCTTTTGGCTGTCCATGAGATCCTCAGCACGCTTCTCCAGCATCACATTATCTCAAATGAGTTGATTTTCCTCTTATCTTCTTTCCTAACTGTCCAGCTCTCACACCCATACATGGTAATGGGGAATATTATGATGGCTTGTATGATTCTGACTCTTGTGCTGAGTTGTATGTCTTTGCATTTTAGGATCTTTCTTAGTTCTTTCATAGCCACCCTCTCCATTCTTCGTCTTCTTCTGATTTTTGAAATCTTTTTCTAAATGATAAAAATGATCGAGAAGTATAGAAACCTAAATGCTCTTGTAAAGTTCCTTCCACAAGAAGGCGGGGGGGGGGGGTTTAGTAAATGTGTTTGTGTGAAGGCGCGACTCTGAGGCGTTTGCGCTTCCCTCAGCAGCCCAAGAGATGTTACTATCCCTGTGACACACATACACACACACAACAACAGCAACAACAAACACGAAACTCGGGGAAGTTGTGTGTGTGGAAGCAGCTCCTGCAAAAATGGCCGTTAACACCAGCAGCGCCGGCGGCGATTTAAAAAAAGAGTTCAAAAGCCGAGCGTTCAACGGCCGTCTTCTCCTCCCGTGTGTGGAGCTCTCCGCCTCCCTCCGGCGCCCTTTTCCTCTCAGCCCGGTCGGCTTCTTTGCTCGACGCGGAGCGGAAAGGGAGACTCCAAGGCGCCTCTACGCTGTACAAGTAACGCGGTTTGACGCCGCCTTTAAGCGCTGCCCCTCCATCCTATGAAATCCTGGGATTTGTAGTTATACGAGGTCCTTAGTCTGCACTGCCAAAGAGTGCTGGCGCCTCACAAAAACTACAAGTCCCAGGGTTCTGTAGGAGGGAGTTGTGGCGGTTAAAGCGATGCCAGACTGCATTATTTACACGGTGTAAATGCACTACCAGCAGCCCTGAGGCCTAGATGGCGCCCAATTTCTCTCAGGGCTGCGGTTAATATTCACAGGGCCTGAACAGACTGCCAGAAATAATCCAGTCTGAGACCACTTTAACCGTCTTGGCTCAGTGCTAGGGAATCATGGGAACTGTAGTTTATTGTGGCACCAGAGCTCTCTGGCAGAGAAGGCTCAATGTCTCAGAAAACAAAAAACAAAAAACTACAATTTCCATGATTTCCTAGCATCGAGCCAGGACAGTTAAAGTGGTCTCAAGCTGGATTATTTGTGGCAGTCTGTACAGGCCCACCGTCTCTGAGGCAAGCAGCAGACTTCATTTTGCTCCATTTGTCAGTAGACAAATGAGATATTTCTTCAAGATGATGATAATAATAATAATAATAATTGTTATTATTATTTATGTCTTGACTTTCTCCCAATAGAAGGACTTAAGGCAGCTAACAAAAATTTAAAACAGTACAAGTAAAAAACAATGCAATAATTCAAATGTAGATACAAGATTTTTTTAAAAACACTTTTAAATAGTTGAAAACATTACACATTACAATTTCAAAATGTATTAAAAACTCTATACAAACCTTAAAATCTAAATGACACAGCATTTAAAATCTGACCCTTGCCAGTTCCCAGTTTAATGGAAGATGCGGGATTGGGAGGGGGCAGATTTTACTGGATGGGGGCCATTTGGTACTGGTAGCAAGAACCGGACAGCCCTGCCTAATAACCTACTTCTTGTTATTATTATTCTTTTTATTTATATCCCACCTTCCTCCCAGTACAGGGACTCAAGGCGGCTAACAACATTTAAAACAGTACTAGTTAAGGACACCATTACCTGCCCAGGAAGACTGGTGGGGTCATACACTGCCAGTGTGGCCTAGTGGTTTGAGTGTAAGACTATGCCTCTGGAGACCAGGGTTTGAATCCCTGCTCAGCCATGGAAATCCTCTGGGTGACCTTGGGCAAGTCACACACTCTCAGCCTCAGGGGAAGGCAATGGCAAACCCCCTCTGAACAAACCTTGCCAATAAAACCCCAGAATAGGGTTGCCTTAGGGTCTCCATAAGTTGGAAATGACTTGAAGGCAGACAACACAACACACACAGTCTTTTGTTCAGGAAAGGTGATATTGGGGCCACTTTACAAATAAATACAACAGCTGTAGCTTATGCAAAAGCTACTGATAGACATGCAAATTCAGTAATAGCACAGTTTAAATTATGAGGGTACAGGCACTTTTTGGAGGAATAATTTAATTTCCAAGCACAGGGGAGGGGAGACAAGATGAGAGTAAGGTAAAAATGACTGGGACGGAACAGTATTATCAGTATCCCACATGTCTGTTCAGTTTCACTTAAGAATTTCTTGCCCGTTTGTACAAGATTAATGTTTTAGCCCAAATATTTATCTTTTATACCAGTCTTGCAAATAAAAGTCTTACTTCACAACACTTACAGCAGCCAAGTAGTGTGTGTGTGTACGTGTGCCTTCAAATTGCCTGTCGACTTATGTTGAACCCATAAATTTCATAGGGTAGGCGAGAAATACTCAGAGCTCCTTCCTCTCAAATATAGCCCACAGGTCTTGGTATTCCATTGGTGGTCACCCATCCAAGTGCTAACCAAAGCTGACAGAATCTGGTGCCTTCAGGGTATTTAGGCCAGTATCTATATACCACATTAAATATTTTGGAAAAGCAGTTTTTACCTATAGAATTGTTGAGGGAAATGTTACCCTTCTGTTTAATTTGACACAAAGATATAGCCGTGTTCCTCTGTAGAATGAGTATGTAGAGAGATACTTTGAGCACCTTTGAGACTAACTGAAATAAATAAATAAATAAATAAATAAA